TGCTGGCCATCTGGTAGGTGGCCACTCTGTGACCCACTTAGTTGCCCTAGAGATGCATCTCTCAGATCTCAAGAGTGCAGGTGTAGGTGACAGAGATGTACAGACTGAGGTATGGTGTCCCCAGCAGAAGGATGAATGGTGATACAGAAATCCCTGAGCAGAAAGGAATGCTGACTGGCTTTTGGGAAGGAGAGGACTGTTGTGCTTGTTAGTGGGGGTAACAAGCCCTGTGCAGTAGTGGTTCAAGGGGACTTAGTGAGGCTTAGGAAGAAAGGTGCTGAGCTCTTTTTATCCATCTGGAAGTCTTAGCCGGCAGTTACTGTAAGTGAACTTCAAAGACCTGTCACACAGGCTGGAAGACCAAGATGTCTCATGGATAAACACACACTGTGACCATCAGAGATGATCACAAGTCATTTACCATCAGTAGGAGAGATAAGGAACTGTTATCCAGGAAGAAAACTCATGCTGGCTGAGGACGCTCTGCTGCTCTTTGTTACAGCATTTGACAAAATAAACAAGTTTATAAAGTAAGCAAAGCATGTGCTTCCTTCTCTCCAGAGCATGAACAGGGGGAACCTTTGATTCTGTTAAACAGATCACCACAATATATGGGCTGGGTATTTTGGGGCTGTGGCCAGTCTGAAGGGAAAGATCCCTGCAGTGGTAATTGTCCACTCCTGTGGTACATTTTAGGTTTTGCCAGTGGGCTCTTGGCATGTTCAGGGAAGTTGAGGGTTCTGACGCAGGACTGCTCATGATAGATGACAGAAGCTGGAAGGATTAAAATAGCCTCAGAACAAACTGCTCTTAATCTTTAAAACAAGCACACATAAGGATGCCATGACCTATTCCCGCAGGAACTGGCAGACCCACTGCTGGATGGCTCTCAGGAAAACTATGAACCTAAGCAGAAAAAAACAAAGAGTGCATGAAAAACCAGGGGCCTACGGACAGTCTTAGTCAGATGCTGTTAGCCATGACCAAAGCCTGAGTTTTCCTCAAATTGTTTCATGCAAGGTTCTACCTCTCATCAGGCTGCTCCCCCACCTCCACTTGAAGGTTTAGCACCTGTACTTGTTTAGTGTAATATTTTCATTTTAAGTGAAAGAAGGATATAAATTCCAAGGCCTTGAGTCACATTAATTAAAACTCAGCTCTATTTCTGTCATTAAATTAATTTTTCGTTCCTCAGTTAGGAGAAAAAAATCATCAAATGATCATCTTGATTATCTGAACATACTGTAGAACTTCTGTTTTGATCAGTTTTCCAAGGCAAGAACTATGAATCAGTTTCAAACTTTAAATGGAGCAAAACAAACAACTTCACTGGTAACCACTTAGCTCTTGAGCTAAATGCCCAGATAGGAATGAGAGAAGTATGGGAATTAGTCTACTAAGCTGGAGTAAATCTTTCACTTGGGAGCTCATTACGACTGAATTCACACAGTATTTCATTGTTACCTGGCTTGCACACCAGAAATAAGGAAAGTACTTCCTCCAGGCTGAAAAAACCCACCCTACTGAAAGCCAGACTCCATGACTGGAGATGACTTATCCTTTCCAGCACTCGAGGACTTGGGGTGGGTGGTGACACACACAGAACAGCCTGGCAGCCTGCAAAATGCAGCGAGGGCAAACATCTTGCAAAAACCTCTGCTTGGGTAAAGATGTAAATGCCAAGTTTGAGATGCCAGCTGCAATTGCCTCTGCTGTCACTTTCCAAAAAGTTCCTGGGTTTTGAGCCTGTTGCAACTGTCGATGGCTGAAGCAAGTAAGTCGTTTGCTTCAGTGAGAGGCACTGGAGAGCAGAGACAATCTGATCACGCACACCTCTGGTAAAGGAGTCGGCAATTACCCTTTGATCACCACATTTCAGCCTATTGCCTCAACAGAGACTGTCCTTCCTAAAAGACTTGGAGGACATGTGCCCTCGCACAAGTGCCCTCTGGTCACTGTTGGGAGCCCGGAGTGTGTGCTCCTGCCGGGGAGGCTGGCAAATGCTTTTTCCCAAGAGTATCACCTATTCCCAAGAGGACAGCTACAGCGAGGAGCAGGGAGAGAAAGGTGTGGAGGAGCGAAGGGGGCATAAACCCATGTCTTTATTTTGCTGGTGTTTCAGGTTGCTTTAAGGAAGGATTTTAATAACTTCAGGAATACAAACTAAGTGTGTCGTGAGTCACTACTCAGTGAGCAAGTAACCCAACTGTCACTAAAACAAACAGGATTTTAACAACTTTAAAGCTACAATTCTCTTCTTTACGGCTCATTCAGAGGGCTGAAAATCAAGCATCTTCAAAATTACTATTTCTCTCTCTTTCTAATAACTGTCTGGTAAGTTTTAATTTAAGGAGTATTTTGAACCTCAAGCAAACAAAAACAATCACATCTGTCACTAGCAGCAATACCTAAAGAAGTCTAGTCTGATAATAAAATACAGAGTGCTGTGTATTTACACCAATGATTAAGTCTTTAGAAATTAGCAGTATTAAGGATATGGTTCACTAATTAAAAACAGTAATTGTTTTCAAATGTTACTTATTTCTATTAAGTTAGCACAATTTTTTTTTGTCAATGCATCCTAATTGATGACCACTAATAGCTTTGAGATTCTGTGTTTTATCCTGCCCCTCACCCTTTCGACAGGGTAACCTGTCAGTCACTTTGAATCTACTTTCCACAGCTGGCAGGGAAGCAGCTGTAGCCAGCACTTCGAGGAACTATGCCAGACTTTCTCCCCTGTATGTTTAACCATAAGCATTCTTCCCTCTGCTATTGCAGGCCCTTCCCTGTCACACCAACTGTGTCCTGCTCATGGCTTCTTTGTCTTACATCCCCACCCTGTCCTATTCAGCAAAGGCCCTGACTTTTGGTTAGCTCAATTCTGACCCAAGTTTGACTGGATCCTGAAGCTCAGATGTGTTGGCCAGGCTGCCTGCAGATTGCCTCTTTCCCCAGTTTCTGTTACCACCTGGCATAGTCTCTTTTACCCTCTGCACAGTGGAGCGGAAGCATCAGGTTGGTTTAGCTATGCAATGCAGATCCATCTAGAATTTCATAGTTATTGGCCAGAATTGCTAATATTGCAGTTAAGCTGCTATTGAGCTAATATCCATAAATGGAGTAGTTTAAACCAACACCAATTAACACGAGAGAGGATTTAATGCTACAGTTTTTCCCAGATTATTTTCATTGACACAGTGTCATAAAAGCTACTGCTTTTTTCCTCACTGGTCACAGCACTTGTGCGCTGTGCAGGATGCCATTCTGCACACACTATCCTCTCCCATCAGCACAAAATTATATTCTCTCTCTACAACTGCTCTTTGCCACAGAGCACATTTTCATCCACAGGTTTTTGTTGCCTAAACTCCCCAGCTGAACTCTGACCTCGCAGCCAAAGGACCCCCTGCTTAGGCTGCACTTTCTTTGCTTAGGTCAGATAGGAAAGAACTCAACCATGGATTAAAATAGGAGCTTGCTAAGACCCGCTTCATGGGTCGCTCAGTTTCCCACTGCTGCTCTAAGGGCTTTATGAAGCAAAACTTCCCACCCCTAGGGAAGGAGCCTCCCCCTCAAGTCCTTGCTCAGCACACAATCAGGGAAAACATTTTTTCTCTTCTGAATGAGCTACCAAATAACTTCCGAGTTCAGAATTTGCAGTGAGGACAGCATTTCATTGCACTAACTCAAGTCTTCTGAAGACTTTTTATATAAAATATTGAAATGTTCTCCAAAAAATGTATCTTTATTGTTCCCTCCAGAAGAAACAAGAGGAATGAGGAAAAAAAAAAAAGAATCAAGAGTATACAGGTTTGTTTTCTTCTTGTAAGAGGCTAACCCACAGAAGGTAAAAGTTTCATTTTCTGGATGTAAATAGCATGTTTGTTTAGTCCTCTCAAGTCTACGTCCTTATTTATTTTAATAAGTAGAGCAATACCACTGTTTACATCTGGATTCCCAAACCTCCCTGCACCAACCTGAGCTATCAACAGATGACAAACTCTCCCAGACTGGTGCAGGGAAAGGGCAATTTTTGCTCAGTGAATGACTTCAGACCAGAAAATGCTTACAGCATCATAGACTTTCAATCATTTTATGAAAAAAACCCAACATTATGTCACTTGTGTAGGCAGAATCAAACAAGGAATATGATGCCATCACCCATCTTTTTACCAATATGCAATTAGACCTAACATTTTATTTCCAAGTAAGATGGTTTCCTTGACATTATATAGTGTTTCTTTTTGCTGAACAACAGTACAGTGAAATAGTTAAGTAGAATATGACCCCAAGCAAACAACTGACTACTGCTGCTTACAAATGATGTAAATTGTAATTCCACAAAGTGTATGGAAGTGTCCCAAACAGCAGGATTTTTAGCGAAAAGAAAGATGAGTTACTTGCATGAGTTAGACTGTTTCTGAAGTGTCATTTTATTCTCACACAGACAAAGATGGAAATTCTTCAACTGCACAGTGTACATCAGTTACCAGGTTATCCTGCAGCTGAGCTCTTACAAAGGCTGCTGAGATCACCCATCTAGCACAGGCAAAGCATTCACCTCCTGTTTAAATATTCTTGTCTTACCAACACCGGTGTTAACAGTAGCACTGAAAGATACATTTACTCAACACCTGATGACAATATTTTCTTGTCTTTAGATGAGATGTAATTACAACTTTGGTGACACGAACCACTCTATAAAGGAAATTAAAGCAGTCCCAAATCACTGTCCCTGAGACCCTGTAATGGAACACATCACTTCCCAGATGCTCAAGAGGAGGTCATCCCTGACTGTATGCAGGAACATACATAAACATGACACAAAGCAAGGCTTGCACACTGACTTAACAGACCCACTATAAATTTCTTGCCTAGATTTGCTAGGAAAATCATGATTTGCCACTCTTAGACACCTCACACATTTACAGGGTAGACTGACATTTTTGGACCACCTCTCCCAATGCTGTATTAGACCACAACTCCTCCACAGCAGCCTATGAATTGCTTCTTTCACTGTCAGTTTGTTTTATTTCTGGATCAAGAGAACTGCCTTCAAATAAGATTCTGTTCCTCATTCCTTCTTTAAGCATTCTTTGCCGGATCCTTTGTTGGGCCCGATTGTACCTGCAGTAAAACCTGGAGGAGGGGACGAAAAGAAAAGAGGATTCCCTGCTTTAGAGGAGTCACAGTATCAAATCAGAGTTATTCAGCCAGTTGAAAAGTTGCAATCACATATGATAATGCTAGGGAAATGCAACATGCTGTCTTTGTAATTAGGACAGAAGGATGGTGAGAGCCAAAGGAAAAAGGAAGAATTAAGAAAAAATGGGAATAACTGGGTGGTTTGATCTCTTGCCATGCAAAAAACAACAGCAAGGTTTTTTAAAAGATATGAACACAAAAATCCTAACACATTAAACTGCTTCCCTTTGAAAAAGATAAACATTTGGGGGAGAAGGAAGCAGAGGCTTTGCTAGGCAAAATTTTAATGTAGTTTCGAAAACCAATGTGAAACAGTGTTTCTGAAAACTGAAACACAGGATCTTGTTGTACAATTCAGCCAACACAGCCAGTTCTGTCAAAAGTGAAGCAGCATTTTACATACCAGCATCCCAACATGGTGCAAATAAAGCCACCGACTGCAAAGTCACAAGACCTTCTAACTCTACCTGAAAGCAAAACATAAAGTAAGAGACAAAGCCTTGGATGGCTTCCCATTGTTAATAATAATGGCAAACAGGGATTTCTTTTCTTGCCAATAAATATATAAAAACTGGAAGGCATAAATACTTACTTGTTGCTAGAAAATGTCCAAGACCCACAACAAAGGACCCCAGGGAGCCATAGAGCAATGACTCTCGTGCACATGGGACATTTGAAACATCCAGAAATCCCAGGAGTTTGAAGGACTGTAAGACAAAAAAACACAAACAACAACACACCCTAAATTTAAAAATCACTTTTGCAGAAGTCTATGATGCCAACCCTGATGTAAAATTGACTTGTTCTCTTAACAGTCAAATAAAAACACTTGAGGATTTACTGCTCCCAGGGTTACAGCCGAGCAGAAGTGACATGCACAGCTGTATTAGGAGTGATTTTGGAAGAGCTTACGATTCATTTATGCAACATAATTTTGTGCAAACATGTTGATCCACCTTTTCCACTGAATATTATAAAAGAACTACTTCATTTTTTCCCTTTACATTCCCTAGGAAAGGAAGGGGGAAAACCCTTAAGAATCCAGAATTTTTGTTAGATCACAACAAATCAGGTTACACTCAAGATAGTTATGCCATCTGATTCTAGTATCTGAAAAGCCAAATGTGCTTTAAAAAAAAGTGGAATTACTGCAGAATGAGCATGTAACGGAGAACCTTGTACTGAACACTGAATAAAAGCAATTATAAGCCACTAATTTTTAGCCTAACCCTATGTACAGACAGTGTCTTGGCACAGAAATTCCTCCATAAACAGCACCTAAGTTTTTTAAGTGAACCTACTGGTAAAAAAAAAATTCTCCTGCTCTGTCTCCCATCTATAAAGTACCCTAGTTGTTATCTATACCCATTTTTAATTTAATTCAAATGGTAATCACATGTGGCACTCGTAAAGTCAACTGTGCACTTAAAGGAGTATGTTTTTCATTTCGGAGAGGCCTCCTCTGGCTTCTGCATACAACTTCTGTTTCTCACCAGGCAAACAGCCTTGCAAATGCAGGAGAAACAAAGAGGCTCAGGATGACACGGGTCAGGGTGCAAATGGCTGCACCACGGTAACATCTGCACATCCTGACAAAAATTCTCTTGCTAGGGATGGTGTGAGAATACTTCTTCATTCTGTTGTGTTTAAATCTTGAAGGTATCACATACCTCATGTGCAGCTGTGTCTAAACTCATCAAAGGTGACTGGTTTGTTTTTTTATAAAGGTGTCCTACTCGGTCAGAGTAGGTTTGGAAGAAGGACTGCTACAGTCAACTGTTTATGCCGGGCTGAGAACTCTATGAGAAAAGCAGTCACTGTGGCTCACGTGACTGTGGCAACAGGGACGGGGAGGATCCGACACAGCTGGATCTGTGTGCATGGAAATCCCCACCATTAGCTTTATCTTCGTTCCTGAAATCCCCATCATTAGCTTTATCTACCCTCCCTACCGACAACCATCAGCTGTCTCCACATAATCCCCGTGTATGAGACAGAAAAGAGGCGGTCTATGTTGGCCGAACCTCCTAACGAGCAATTTCAAGAACTCTCGTATGGAAGAAGAAGTCACTTGATACGCTGCTGTTGTTGGCTAAGAAGGTATCCCTGCTGCGTCCGTGCAGCATGAGGCACACGGTTAAAATAGCGTTTCACCTGTCGCAGCGCTCGAAATCACTTATGTCTCCAACCCCTGCTAACTCCTGTCTCTAACCACCGCTAACTCCGCACTGGTGTCACGAAGGCTCAAGTGTCACGGCGGCGTTTCACCCCCAGAGCCCCACGGGGGAAAACAAACACCATCCCCACCCCACCCACTCGATCTGCCGCGGGTTTCCGTGTATTGTCCCCGAATTATTTCCTCTGGGCGCAGAACAGCGCGGGGAGTGTAGGTGTGGTGGCGT